GGGACTCCAAGTTCGCCCCCCTCCCGTCGCTGTTCAACTCTACCCTGGCCGTTCATCACTTCGCGAGAAAAAAGGGGCCCTGACCAGCGAGTGGGGGGCCCGGACTTACCACGTCAGTGGACAGCCACTGCTCGATGTCCTCCATCAGGCAGGCCTGGGCGGCGGGGATCTGCAAGGAAGGGCGAGCATGAGCAGGAGGGCAGGGCCTGGGGCGAGGCGGGGAGGCCCCGGCAGCTCAGTGCGCCCGGCTGCGGGCAGCCACCCTTCCTCCCCTGTCCCCGGCTGGGACAGAGACCTTGGTGTTCCCTCCTTCAAGACGGCTCCTGCCCACGGTGCCACACGGCGGGCGGGGGAGGCGCAGAGCCGGGGACTCAGCAGGGCATGGGAAAGGGCCCCCTCCCCAGCAGCCGGAGCAGGGTGGAGCCACACCCTGGTGCTCGGGAGTGCCTGACAAGGAATACACAAGCCCAGGAGGGACCCGAGGTGTTTTCTCCAGCCATGGAGGCCGGGTGGGAGACATGGTTCGTGTGCCGGGGACCGCCAGCTTCTTTCCCCTGCACGCACACAGGTCAGAGTTCATGATGGAAGGGGGCACCGAAAGGCCCCAGGCCGGGCTCGGTGGCTCAGCCTGTCATCCCAGCGCTTTGGGAGGCCGAGGCGAGTGGACTGCCTGAGCCCGCGGGTTCGAGACCAACCCAGGCAACTTGGCGAGACCTCGTCTCTACAATAAAATAATAATAATAAAAAAAAAAAACTTAGCCAGGCATGGTAGCAACCGCCTGTAGTTCCGGCTACTTGGAAGGCTGAGGCAGAAGGATCGCCAGAGCCCAGCAGGTCGAGGCCGCGGTGGCCGGGAGCGGCCACTGCACTCCAGTCTGGGCGACTGAGTGAGACTCCAACAACAAAAAAGAAAGGTCGAAGAGCAGGGCTGTGGGCTCAGAGGGCAGCGCTGCAGACGGAAACATTTCACTTTGGGCCACAAAGACATGGGGTTTGCTGCGATGGCTCCCGCACAGGGCAGGCTGGGCTTTCCTTGACTAATGGCTTCTGCAGTGGAAGCCTCTAGCTGGAGGTCACAGGAGCAGGCTTCAGGTAGGAAAGACCTGAATCTGGCTCTGTCCCTTGTAGCAAGTGTGACCCTGGGTGGGTTACTTGATGCCTCTGTGCCCTATTTCCCCATTGTAGAGTGAAGAGGACAGTGGCACCTCCTGCCAGGCTGCTGGGGGGATGAATAGGCTAGCACCAGGTTTGGTACCACAGCGACAGGATCATGAGCAGTACTGACCAGTTGCTACTCAGATGCTTTGGGAAAGCCAGGGACAGCGAGTGCCTCTCTCTAACCACGCCGTTCAGTCTCCAAGCTGGTACCTCCCAGTACCCAGGAGCTCAGGGTAGCAGAGCCCAAGAGAAGGCAGAAGCCCATCTCCCGGTGGCGGCAAGTGCTGGGTAAGAGAGAGTTACACTGATAGGGTGGATGGCAGGGCTAGGGTCACTGGCGGTCTATAGCCATCTCCAACAGGGATGCCTTTTGGTTCAGGAGGCCTGCTGCCCCTCTGGAAGGCCTGTGTGTGCACAGGAGTGTGTGTGCGCGGTGGGCGTGGCAGCAGGTGCAGGCATCGAGGTGCCCACTGTGTGGTGAACCACAACGGCGCTGGATGCCAGAGCCCTGAGCGGGCTGGGGAAGAGGTGAGAGCAAGCGACACGAAGCCCCCAGCTCTCTCCACGAAGATCTGAAGCTGGGCCTGAGCAAGCCCGGGATGGCAGAGCTGGCGGTCATCAGCCACTCTGGGGGCTCCCAGGGGTTCCGACAGGCACCCAGGCTTTAGAAACATCGGCTTATTCAGGCCCGTCATGTCCACTGGTGGCACACAGGAGGTTTCCCAGGGCCCAAGTGGGTCAGGAATGGAGGGAGATGAGTGTCCTGATGTTTGGCCCCCACCCTGCGACTGCCTGGCCTGCCCCACACAGACCCCAGTGGGGCCTGGCACATGGCACACTGCAGCGCTCGAGGGAGCAAAGGAGCTAAAACGCAGCACGCGATGTGTGCCATCACCTCGGACAGGACTTGAGTCCTGCTCTGAACCCACAGCGCAAGCATGGGTTGCCCACAGTTGGCACCAGATTCTGTTGTCGTTGTTTTTTTCTTTGAGATGACGTCTCACTCTGTTGCCCCAGCTGGAGTACGGTGGTGCGGTCATAGCTCACTGCAGCCTCGAACTCCTGGGCCCAGGCCTCTAAGTAGTAGCTCACAGGTGTGAGCCACTGAGCCCAGCCACGACATAACTGACTGTGAAGAGTGTGGCACCTCCTCCTCCCTCTCTTACCATGTGACTCACCTGCTCCCCGCTAGCAGCCTGAGGCCTCACCAGAAGCCTGCCCTGGGGCTGTGCTTCTCAGTAGCCTGAGAACTGTGAGCCAAATAAACTTTTCCTTACGAATTCCCAGCCTCAGGTGTTCCCCTAGAGCAATGCAAACAGACTAGCACAGTGGGTAAGGCCTGACCTCAGCCAGACCCGGGAGCGGGCACTGGCTTACATGGCTTGAAGAAATCACACCCCGGCCTGGGAAAAGTCACTTAGATCTCTCAAGTTACCGGGAGGAATGAGTGATGATTTATCATTTCTGCCTTCCTGCAAGTGAAGTCCTATGTGTGTTTCCTCCCTGGGGCTAGCTGCCGGGGAGGACCTGGACCCCAGTGCTAGTCCTGCCTGAGTTTTGTGTGCCCCTGGGGAACTGGCTGTCTGGGGCTGCTGCAGGAGCAGACTGGCTGGGACTGCTGCCCACTGGGTGCTGGAGTCAGTTCTGCCCAGGAGAGGCCCAGGTGGCCTGAGAGGGTAGTGCTTACTGCAGGTGCCCAGAGTGCCCGGATCCACTTGGACCGCAGGGCTGGAAGGACGGCCCTTGGGAAAGGAAGGCTGAGGAGGGGTGCACACACCCTGCTTACTCGCTTTGTCCTTTGAGCTTTCCAGATTTGGTGTACTTATTATAAGCATGGCTCTGGAGCTAGGTGGACCAACAGCTGTGAGACCCTGGGCCAGGTACCTGCCAATTTGCAGCCTCAGTTTTCTCATCTGTAAATGGGGCTAACCACACAGCAGTACCCTGAAGATAAAATGTTGTAATACTTTACTGGGTGCCAGGCACCTTGCTGAGGATGGTACCGCTACAATTTTACTTAAACCCTCTCTAGAACTCAGTGTTCTCATCTGCAAAAGGGGAAAATGATAGACCCTAAGGGTTTGTAAGGGGTGGAGGATGCACAGGGTTTAGCACAAGGTCTGGCACTGAGCACAGGCTCAGTCAGTGATGCCTGCAGAAGGATCCGTGGCTCTGATGCTTGGTGTGGCCATGTGCTCTGTCTGGTGGTGGGTCACAGTGGATTCCCTCGCTGGGCGCCTCACACTGTATTATGTCCCAGAAAGACTACTGAGATGCCAGCAGACCCAGGAGCGGAGACAGAGTGCCCTCAAGGCATCACTGGGCCCTCACTCCCACGGACTGTACACGCCCCCGGCTCCTCTCCTGTCTCCTGGCCTCCATCCTGATCCTTTCGAACGAAGTCACAGAAACGTCCCTTCTGTGCTCAAGGCTTCCAGTGGCTTCCACCTCACCCAGGATGGCTCTGCTGGCTCCCAGCTGCCCCTTGGGCTCGTCTCCCACCCCCACCCCACCCTGGCCTGGGAAGCCCTGAGGCTGGTTCTCCCAGGGAGCTGCTGTCCAGACACATGTCGAGGCACAGTCAAGTCGCTTGATGGATAAGGGAAGGCTTGTGCATTCCTTTTGCTCTTTTAGGCCTGCTCTTTACGCCTCTCTGCCCACACTCCTGAAGCTAGAAGGTCTTCAGGGAGGTGGGAAGTACAGCGCCGACCGGCTCTGACTCTGCGCCAAGCGCCCTCAGTACAACGCCTCACACATTCTATCAGACGCGATTACAGGGGCTGTTGTGAGCCCCGACACAGAGATGAAGACACTGAGGGCCAGAATGGCCTACAGCCCCTCTTTTGAGAAGTTTCGTCTCCTCATTTTACAGACTGCCCTGTTTAAGGCTGTATTTGGACGGGAGACTCCATTTGGCTGCTCTAGGCTGCTGGGTGAGGTGCTGACTTGCACTGGCTCACCCGTGCGAGGATGCCACCTGCAGCCCCTCCCTGTCTCAGAAAGTCTAGTAGCTGCCTAAGGACGCACAGCTGGTGAGTGGCAGCCCTGGGGTGTGGCCCCGGACGGGGGGACCCCGCTCCCTCCGACTCAGGTCTGGGTCCTTGCTGTGTGAGCCTGGGCAAGTGACCCACCCTCCCTCACAGTTTTCTTAGCTGTGAACTAAAACCCAATGAGAGCCTGTTGAGGAGAGGGCCATGAACAGGCGGAGGCAGTGCCCAGCACAGAGTGGGGCATTCCCTTGCCCTCCCGCTGGCAGGTCCCAGGGTGGTGGCAGGGCCTGTGCTTACCGCGCCAGTGCTCTGCTGCCGGGCGTCCAGGGCTCCAGCCAGGCCATCTGTTGCTTGGGGGGCTTCGTATTTTACTCTGAAACACAGAGGCCGCCAGGCCATCAGATTCTGTCCTTGCCATGCGGGGTCTGCCAGCTGATGCAAGGCCAACGGGTGGGCAGCTCAGGTCGGGGGCTCCTATTTTCCAGGCCTTGCCCTTGCCACGCCGGGCCTGCCGGCCAATGTGAGGGATGACATTGTGAGGGCGGATGGCTCGGGCCGGGGCTCCAAGACTCCAGGCCTGCCTGGGTGTGGTAGAGAAGGTCTCATGTCCTGCCTCTGGGGATTAGACACGTGGCCCAGTGACAGGGAGGCAAAGGCGGAGGAAGTCAAGGAGGGTGTTCCTGGCCAAGACCAAGAACACCACCACCATGGCTATGACCAGATTTGGCCAAGCTCAGGGGACTGAGGAACAGCTCCGGTGACCCCATGCTCCCCATGCTCAGGGAGAATGGCCTACAGCCCCTCTTTTGAGCAGTTTCGTCTCCTCATTTTACAGACTGCCCTGTTTAAGGTTGTATTTGGACGGGAGACTCCATTTGGCTGCTCTAGGCTGCTGGGTGAGGTGCTGACTTGCACTGGCTCACCCGTGCGAGGATGCCACCTGCAGCCCCTCCCTGTCTCAGCAGCATGTAGAGGACCCGGTCATGGCTCTTCCAAGAGACTCCTGGGGGACGCCAGCCAGCCAGGCAGGGTGGGAAGGCAGGAGCTAGGAGGAAAGGCGAGGCTGATGGACTAGAGGGGCAGGGGCTGACCCCCCAGCTGCTGGGCAGGTGAGGTTAGGAGGGCAGTGTTGGGCTTGTGGTCACGTCCCCAGAGGGCAAGAGTACAGCCCGAGAGTGGGAAGAGTGGGAAGGGCGTCTCTCCTGACCGCTGCAGTGAGATGTCCAGGGAGGCCGTGAGGATCTCTATGCTGGGAAAGGGCCTCCCCATGCCCACTCAACTGCCAGCAGGGAGAAAGCCAGGCCTTAGCACTGGGTCCGTCCAGCTGTGGGGCGAGGAGGGGAGCCATGCGACTCTGGCCAGGAAGAGCAGGCCCTGCCCCATGAGGGATGAGGGGCTCTGGCAGGTGGGGACGCCTGACATGACTGATGGGGCTGTGCTAACTCCAGGCTCCAGGACTGGGTGCTCATCACGCCGAACATCTGCGAGGTGGGGTTGCCTTACTGGGAGCAGGGTAGGCAGGCACTGAAAGGGACGAGGACGCCCGAGGGCACCGCTGTTCCTCCCTCCCCCAGGGAAGCGTTCATAGGGGGGTGACCACTAGCTGCTGATTCCCTGGTTACTCAGCTCCCATCCATGACTGCAGGGCCACGCTGGAGCTAGCTTAGAGCCAGTGGAGAGGCGGTGGGCGGAGGCTGGGGTGCCCGCTCTTTCTGGGGAGCAGCCGAGCGCCCCTGGCCCATCTGGGCAACGAGGGCCGCGAGAAGGAAGTGAGCCAACGATTCAGCAGCATGTCCTAACGCGCGTATGCACATGGCATGCTGCTCTCTGGTCTATGGCACGCCAGGTGCACTGTGCCCAAGGCAGGGGGCACGCCCAGCCCCAGGACCATGTAGGGTGACACTTATCAGGACCTCCTTGGAGAGGAGGCCTCTGTGCACAGTGGCACAGAAGCGGATGCAAAGCATGTTCACCAGGACGATGATAAGGAGGGCGAGGAAGCCAGCCTCCAGGAAGGCCGAGCTGAGGCAACCCTACCACAGCTCACTCGATGCCCTGCTGCTCTTTGGTGCTGAGTGGATGGGCCTGACCAGGAGGGGGGCCTGTGACGGGCCAGCTATAGTTGGAGCTGGCTTTCCTGAGAGCCATGGCTGCACTGGCTGCAGCTGGTGTGAGAGCTGGCAGGCACGGAGAGATGCAGGCCGGATGCCAGGAAGGCAGAAAGACCGTTGGGGGACCTGAGCTAGGAGGTCCACCAGAGGCATCAGCTGGGCCGGTCAGAGGGAAGACAGGGAGGAGGAGCCGGATGCTGGCCGGCTCCGGCTGTCTGGAAACCATGCCCTGGGGCCTGCAGAACCCACGGCCTGAGAAGGTCCATGATGTTGGCTCAGCTGTGCCCAGCTGAAGGATCTCAAAGATGCAAGTCTGGGGAACTCCCTCAGGTCCCCTCCCACTGTGGGAGCTTTTCTGTCCTCTCAATAAGTCCTGTTTTCAGAAAAAAAGAAAAAAAAAAGATGCAAGTTGGCCAGGTGCAGTGGCTTGTGCCTGTAATCCCAGTACTTTGGGAGGCTGAGATGAGAGGATTGCCTGAGCCCACGGGTTTGAAACCAGCTTGGGCAACTTGGTAAGATCTCATCTCTACAATAAATCAAAAAATTATCCAGGCATGGTGGCACACACCTGTAGTTCCAGCTACCTGGAAGACTGAGGCAGAAGGATCACCTGAGCCCAGCAGGTCGAGGCTGCGGGGGCTGTGAGTGTGCCACTGCACTCCAGTCTGGGCGATAGAGTGAGACTCTGACTCAAAAAAAAAAGATGCACATCTGATTGGAAAATAATCCTTCTCATGCTCCCTACTGCCAGTGTCAACTACCCTACCAACTGCCTCTGCATGGCTGGTGCGCCTGCCACACCTGCCACCCTCAGCATCCTGACCCGCTCCCTACATGTGCCCTGTGTGGGAGACAAGCACCTCTCTCCCACCCTGCTGCTGGGCCTTTGCACATGCTGTTCCTAGTGCCTGAAATGGCCTCCTGACCACCCCCTATCCAGCCCTGAGCAGCCTCCACAGAGTTGCGTGGCTCCTGCTGTATCCACAGAGCCTGGCATCCCCTCCAGGACAGCACTTAACACTTAACATCGGTGGTTCTGGCAGGTGTATACTCTCCTTGTGAGACTGCAGGCCCCGGAGAACAGGCTTTTAGCTGGCTTTTCCTGGTCCCCCAGGGCCAGCTCCCACAGGAGGGATGGTGTAACAGCAAACCCCTGCCAGGCCAGGTGCCAGGGGCTCTCCATTGCAGGCAGTTGTGCCACCCACTGGGCCTGTGTGGACGGGCCACTCTTCTGGCTTCAAGTCCCACCAGATTCACTACCTTCCCTCTGCACAGCAGCCTCAGCAGTGCCCCAAACTCCATGGCAACCATGAGCTGCTGGTCCCAGAGCACCTAGACTTGGGAGTACAGACTCTGTCCAGACTACAGAGAGATACGGTTCTCAGCTCAGGGCATTCCCATGAGCCAGACTGGCTGCAGTCTGTCAGATGTGACCTGACGGGTATGGAGAGGGTATCCTCGGGCTCTCTGGAGGCCCATCAACAAAGTTCCCAAAGATACCGCATCTTTTTTTTTTTTTTTTTTGTCGGAGTCTCACTCTGTCATCCAGGCTGAAGTGCAGTGGTTCGCTGCTCACAGCGACTGCAGCCTCGACCTGTTGGGCTAAGGCGATCCTTCTATCAGCCTACCAAGTGGTTGGAACTATAGGCGTGAGTTACCATGACCAGCTAATTTTTTGATTTACTGTAGAGATGAGATCTCGCCACGTTGCCCAGGCTGGTCTCGAACCTGCGGGTTCAGATAATCCTCTCACCTCTGCCTCCTTAAGTGCTGTGATTATAGGTGTGAGTCACTGTGCCTGGCCTGACACCAAATGTAACTAAGGATCTGAGTGGAGTCAGATGTCCCTTAATCCAGAACTTTCCTTAGTTCTAAGAATACTGGCTGCCTACTGCTTAGCCCTCAGTATCATAAGCAAAGGGTTGAAGAAAACACCAAGAATGGCTGGGTGCAGTGGTTCATGCCTGTAATCCCAGTACTTTGGGAGGCTAAGAGGAGAGGATCTCTGGAGCCCAAGAATTCAAGACCAGCCTGGGTAACATAGCAAGACCCTGTCTTTACAAAAAAAAAAAAAGGAATAATAAAAAAAAAAGAAAACACCAAGCAGACTGTCCCTGATAAGTCTGCACAGAGCCAGGTGCTAAGAAGTTGAGGCAAGGGGCCAGACCCTGAGGGACACACTCAGTCATGTTGCATACGTTGCTGAATCACCTCCATAAAAATGCACAGTCCACAGAGAAGAGCAGGGCCCTGGCTCTGGTGCAAAGGCAGATGCGGGTGGGGCAACAGGGACTTCTCTGGATATTAAAGGTGGCTATGGAATAAGATAATTGACTTGAGCGTCCCTCAGGATTTACCAGGAAACTTGTCTGCCCCGGCAGAGCTTGCTGTGGGGTGTGTGGTGAGGTGGGGCGGGGGGGTAGAGATACTATGTTCTGGAACCAGGACAGCCCTGGATTCCTAACCAAGTGCTGCCAAATATCAGCTGCCTGACTAGGACAAATGGCTCAGCAGCTCAGTTTCCCGTCTGGTCAGATCATGTCGGATTTTGGCATGCAGTGGCCACTGGGTACCCCCTCCCCACGCATCCCTACTGGTGGGCTATGCAGGCTCACTCGACCACAGGGCCAGGCCGTGCCAGAATGACTTGGGGGGCGCCAAGAGGGTGCAGACAGAGGGCCTTTCCTCCTGGTGTGCCCGCCACCAAGCCAGGTCCAGGGCACACTCACTCCTTCCGTTGGTCGGCCAGCGAGCTGCCCCGTGTCAGAGCAAACATGTCAAACTCGTCTTCCAGTCGGCCAGAGGTCTCCAGAGACTGCAGGCCAGCTCTTACACTGCTGGAGCCCAGGTCTGCAGGGACAGAAAGGCACATGAAGGGCCTGTCCGCTGTCCTTGTGTGCTGAGCCGCTGCTGGGCTGCTCCCTGCCAGGCCCAGGGCTAGGTGCTGGGGAATCAGCAGGCGCGGGTGGGTCTGGATAGAGCAGGCACCAGCTGGCTGGGGACCCTGGGCAAGCCACTTCTCTCTAGCTTTAGCTTGCTCACTCTAAGATGGAGACACAGTCACCCCTCCTGGGGTCAGAAAACAGGGAAAATGCTGCCTGTTGCATTTGCCAGAGGAAGTGGTGGGACAGGAGGACAGCAGCCAGCTGTGTGGCAGACTTTCCAAGAGTGCAGCACAGAAGATTCAGAATGGGGCCTAGGGGCTTGGCATGAAGCAAGCGGCCAGATGCAATGTAACGGGATGACTGGCCGCACTCCGGGAGGGTGCACCCTGGCCTGGCATGGTCTAGGCTTTTCTCACGCATGCACTCACTCAGCCTTGCGGTGTCCTGTGAGGACAGCCTATCCCACTCCTGGTGCAGGGGAGGACAGAGGCTCAGGATGTTTAAGTGCCTGGCCCAAGTGGAGAGGAGCAGTCCCAGTATGCTGGGATTTCTGAGATCTGAAGGGGATCAGGAACTATAAGGCTCCCAGAGGCAACCGTGTGGCAGAATTTGGCCTGGGGCCCCAGAGAGGTGGGGTCTGCACCGATGTTCTGCTGTTGGTATATAAAGGGGGCGCTTCCAGAACTGGAGGGGTACCCACAGCATCATAATCACCGTCCGCTGGAGCCCGCCAAGCCACACTTACTCATTCCCGCCAGCTGGGACGAGAGGTTGCTGGTGGCTGCTGGGTCGGGGCCCATGTCGATCAGGTCAGCGGCCGGCTCAGCCTCACCTGGGGCCTGAGGGAAAGGGAGACGTCCTGAGCATCCTCCTTACCTGCAGCTTTCTTCCCTTCCGCTTCAAGCACTGGTGCGTGTAGGCTTTGTGCCAGGATCTGTCACCAGGGCCCTGGTAGCTATGATTGGGAGTTGGAGCTTTTCTTCCGCCCCTTTGGCTCCAACTCAACTGGACCCCCTGGGAGGTTGGGAAGACCCTTGGGCATCAGCTACGGCACAGCCTTCCTTGCCTGAAGGGGGTAGTGGCATAAACAGAAGGAGACTCCTTTAAGAGCCTGGGTAAGAAAGTGCCATCCTTGCCGGATACTGGGGGAAGGAGGTTAAGAAAAGCCCTCCTCCCCATCAACATGGCAGGATCTAGTCACAGAAAAGAAGCCTTTTACCTTGGCGGTCTGACCTGTTCGGAACCGTTCAAACCTACAGGATAGAAAATATCTGAGTTAAGGAGACAGACTGAGACAAGCCCCTCAACACAGTCAGGCAGAGCTTTCAAACTGTGGGTTTCAAAATCAACAGTGTGGGTCATGATCAGGGTGAGGATACACCACTACATCCCTTTTGAACTTTGACTCTGTTTAGTCTGTGGACACCTGCTCCCAGATGTGTGAGGACCAAGTGACTGTGAACTGGAAAGCCCTGGCAAATGCTAGGTCTGATGCCTGTGAGTTCCCTTGGCTGCCTCATAGCCCATACCCCAAAATTGCAGGGAAGGGACCTTTCATCCCACGGGACCAGCAAGCAGGAGAGAGCCAGGCAGATGTGACCTGCAGGGCCCCGCCCACTGTCCACTTGGAATCATTTGGTGAGGGCCTGCTGATGGATAGAGACACGAGAAATGAAAGGAACTGGAAGCTGGATTGACTAGTGTCACTTACCAGGCACCCTGATCACTGAGTGCTGGCCAGGCATTATTTCACTGGCTCTGTTACACTATGAGCTCCGTTTTAGACACAGAGAAAGCGACCAGCGTGCCGTTTCTGCAGGCCCAGCAGACCTTCTTCCCTTTTTGTTATAGCACCTGGGTGCTCTTTGGGGAACTACTCTGCCCCCATTTCACGTGATCCTGGTGGGACTGCCGTAAAGGGGCTCTCTCCTGGCCCCTGACTGGTGGGCACAATGAGGTGAGGCCGAACAGAGTCACTCCTGGGAAGTGACTCTTGAACAGATGACAACAAGGTGGACAAGCGGGTGAGCTGATCCATTTACTGATGGTGGCGTCTGGGGACCTGGTCCAGGAGCTTCTGCCCCAAGACTTCTGAGCTACCTTGGGATCTGTCCTTCACCTCTGGATTCTGAAGACTACTCACTTAATAGAGGCTGGTATCCTAATACATTCTTTTTCTGCTTAAGTTAGCCAGAAAAGCTTTATGTAACTTGCAGGCAAAAAGCCTTAATTAAGTCCAGTAGCTACTCCCAGACCCAGAGTCAAGAGTAGTGGTGAGCATGGACAGACTAGGCCTGGCTGGGTGAGGGGCCCATGCTCTCAGCCCATTACGGCTGTGTCCCAAGGCTGGGCTCGGGCATAGGCGGCAGGGCTACTCTGGAAGGGAAACGCAGGTGGGCAGACGGACAGGGCTCAGGCACACGTTGGAAGAGGATGGCCGAGGACACATGCTTGAGGAGCCTGCCTTGTACTTAGAGAAGGACAGAGAAGGCGCAGACGTGTAAGGGGATCAGGTGGGCAGGGAGGAAGGGAAGGGGAAGGCTGGCAGCTGGCACAGAGTGGGCAGGCGCCAGGGCTACCGTTCGTGGCGCAGGAACACGTTGTTGAGGTTGTCATTGACCAGCAGCAGCTCCTCTGTCAGTGGCTCGTGGGCGATCCGAGGGATGAGCTCCAGGACCCGCTGCTGCATGGCTCGGCACGTGCGGTTGAGCTCCTGCCGGAAAAGGGGGTGAGACCACCAAGGCCACGCACCCCTGGGTCAGTCTGTCTCTGTGTGCGGGGCTGGCCTCGGAGGAGGGGGACGTGTCCCTGGAACAGCTTTTTGGGTTCCAGGTTCTACAAACATGAATTTGCATTTCACTTCCAAGTGTTCTGCGCTAAAATTTAATGCATGTGGGAAATCACAAACATGTTCAACAGTGCTGCTGGTTTAAGGCTTCGTGTAGACTTCAGAATAAAGGTTCTGCTGCCATCTTTGCTTAGTTGAAGAAACTGATCCCGCACTTTGGGAGGCTGAGGTGAGTGGATTTCCTGAGCCCACGGGTTCGAGACCTACCTGGGCAACTTGGCAAGACCTCATCTCTACAATAAATCAAAAATTAGCCAGGTGTGGTAGCGCACGCCTATAGTTCCAGCTACTTGGAAGGCTGAGGCAGAAGGATCGCCGGACCCCAGCAGGTCGAGGCTGCGGTGGCCGGGAGCGGCCACTGCACTCCAGTCTGGGCGACAGAGTGAGACTCCAACTCAAAAAAAAGAAAAAGAAAAAGAAAAAGAAACCTAGACTGCAAAGTGGGCTGGACAAACTGCAGCTTCTCTGAGGTGGGCTATGATTTTTCCAACCAAAGCATGAAAAATGAACTCGATTGCTTCAACTATTAGCCACAAACCCTGATTTTGAATTTTTGCCTCATTATTGTCTCTAATTTGTTTTTTTTGAGTTGGGGCTCACTCTGTCACCCAGGCTGCAGTGCAGTGGCAGGATCACAGCTCACTGCAGCCTTGACCTCCAGGGCTCAGGTGATCCTTCTGCCTCAGCCTCCCAAATAGCTGGGATTACAGGCACATGCTGTCAAGCTCATCTAATTTTTTGATTTTTCTTGTAAAGATGAGGTCTTGCTAAGTTGCCTAGGCTGGTCTTAAATCCCGGGCTCAGGCAATCATCCTGCCTCGGCCTCCCAAAGTGCTGGAATTATAAATATAAGCCACTGTGCCCAGCTGATTTTCTTTCTTCTTTTTTTAAACTCCCCTCCCCCCCATTTTCTTTTTAATAAACTTTGTATTCTGGAATAATTTGAGATTTATAGAAGTGTTGCAAAGATAGTACTGAGAGTTCCTGTACCCTCAACCCAGCTTGGTCTGACATTTGTCAAATTGACAACATCAGCACTGGTACAACACTATCCACTAATCTACAGACTTTATTCAGGCTTCATGAGTCTTTCCACTGAAGTCCTTTCTTTGTTCCAGGATCCCACACTGAATGAAGTCACCATGTCACTGACTGACTTTAGTCAGTCATATTTATACTTATGTTTGGGGGAAAAAACAGCCACAAGCTTACAGGTTTTGAGGTATAAGACAGGTCACCTGTTTCTTCAGGTGCTTCTGCCACCAGGTGAGCAGGTGTTGGTTATGGTCCTGTGGTTGGTGCTGCCAGGCATCACCAACTGTGGTCAGCACACTCCTTTCCTGGAGGTGTTGTCATGACAAGGCACTGCCCGATGCTTAATCTGGCTCTATTGTGGAACCTGTTACCCGGCCGTCCGAGGCTGGGCCTTCTGGGATTTCCTCACCGCTTTCAGCAAGGGGCAGAGCAGGTGCTTTCAACATCCTGTGGGCCTGTCCCTTCTTCCTCCCATGACCAAGCACACTGCGGCTTTGCTTCTGCTTTCTTGCTGCCCCTCTCAAGAGCAGGAGAGCAGCACTTAGAGCCAGGCCCCTGGGGTTCAATTCCCAGCTCTGCTACTTACAGCCATCTGACCCTGACCCTGGGCATGTTCTATGAGCTCCCTTTGCCTCAGTTTCCTGACCTGGAAGATGGGGGTGGTGAGGATTATGTGAGCAAACATGTTTATCAAGTGTCCACATTGAGCCTGGTGCACAGGAAATGCCCAACACATGTAAGTTGTTACTGCGTCCACCCTGCCCACAGCTCCAGCCTTCTGAGTCTTGAAATTGCTCATAGCTGTGTGGCCTTGGCTCAGGCAGATGAAACTGCTTGCAGTCCTACAGCTGTCCTCACTCAATCTCCTCTCCTTGGAGCCCTCATTTAGTCTTCATTCAACTCCGAGCCTCCTCCTCGACTTCTCACCCTCTACCACCATGTGAGGACCTCTGAGCAGTCAGCTCGGTCAGGCACAGGGACACAGGGACACAGAGATGAGTAAGATGCAGCCTTGCCTTCAAGGAGTTTGAGGCCTGGCAGCTAAGCGACAGGAAACTGGAGAATATACAAAGCATTCTGTCCCTCCTGGATCGGTGACTCCTGGGCCTTAGGGGCACTCAGCTTTCTCGGTGCCTCTATGACCAACCTTCGTGGGAAGGAGGTGTTTCGCCAAACGTAGCCCCTTCTGCTCCAGTGATCCCCAGCTGGGGATGGGGCCATGAGGATGTCATGTGACACACAGGTACAAGAACCAACAGCACCCACCTGCCTTGGCCCAAGAACAGTGCCTGGCTCATCTCAACACCAGCACTGCTAGCCTCAGATCCTCCCAGGTGGAAATCTCCTCTTCCAGCTTTTTCTCAGGACTGCTTAATGGGCGCTTACTCGGTACCAGGCACTGGGTGTTTTACACACAATACCTTATTTACTTCTCACATCAAACTTGGACCATAAAGGCTATTGTTAGAGCAGTCTTACAGAGGAGAAAACTGAGGTGATCGGGGCTACTTTGTTCAAGCAGTAGAGCTGAGATCTGACTCCAATCTGACGGTGTCCAAAGTCCCTGGTGGTAACATCCCCCAATGTGACAAGGAGATTGTGGTAAGCCATGAGGATTGCTGTGTGGGTGAACAGGCACCTGAGCCCGGGGGGAGGGCCTTCTGCTTACCTGCAGCAGCTCCAGGTCAGCGGGCTCAGCCCGGGTGGGCACCAGCTCTGTCAGCATCTCGGACATCACCCGCACATTCCCATTCACCATCTCCAGCTCACTGCGCAGCTTTCCGATCTGAAACACACCGCTGGCCATGGTGAGAGGCGTAGGGGCCTGGGGCTGTTGCCACTCACAGGAACCCAGCACCACCTGCCTGGGGTGCAGCCCTGGGAGCCCACTTGTCAGCACTGTCTCTAGGCAGCCTTGCTCCTGGCTCCTGGGCCCAGCCCTGCACTAAGAGGCTGTGACTAGCCTGCCTCACCCCCTCCACAGACGCCTCACAGAGGCACTACCCACCGTCACTATCTCCAGGCTGGGGAACCCAGTACAGAGAAAGGCTGAAAGGAAACAAGCTGAGGGGGAGTAAACTACCAAGTGTGGATGGAAGACTCTGGCATCTCTTGGGTCTAAAGTGGCAGCTAACGAGGCCCTGGAGGGTGGCTGTAACCCTTCCCCTCCTCCCAAGAGGACCGGGACTCGGCCCTTACCTTGAGTATAAAACTCAGATTTAATACTTGTTCCCAGAGATGTTAGCAGGTTTTCAATAAGCAAAGCATTTCAAGGTCTTGAGCTTGGGGAAACACTGTCAGTGAAGTTGCACAGTCTCTCAAGGGTTAGGCTGTGAAAGGTCATTGGTGTGTCTTCTGCTGTGGGATCTTGGGGGGTGTTTACTATCCTCATGTACACTGTGTACACTGAGAATGCCCAGGAAAAGACCAATATGACAATTCCCAAAATATATTTAGCTGGAGAACCCTTTCATTGTGGAAGAAGTCTAGTGCTCAGAGGACTACATTTTGGGAAATGCTGGTACCTTATTTTTTTTTGGAGTTGGAGTTTCACTCCATTGCCCAGCCTGGAATGCAGTGACACGCAGGCTCACAGCCATCCCAGTGTCAACCTGCTGGGCTCCAGCGATCCTTCCAAGTAGTCGGAACTACAGGCTCGCCCTACCACGCTCAGCTAATTTTTTTTTCATTTTTTTTTTGAGTTGGAGTCTCACTCTGTCACCCAGACTGGAGTGCAGTGGCTGCTCCCGGCCACCGCAGCCTCAACCTGCTGGGCTCCGGCGATTCTTCCGCCTCAGCCTTCCAAGTAGCTGGAACTACAGGTGCGCGCTACCACACCCAGCTAATTTTTGATTTATTGTAGAGATGAGGTCTCGCCAAGTTGCCCAGGCGGGTGTTGAACCCGTGGACTCAGGCAACCCACTCACCTCAGCCTCCCAAAGGCGTGGGATTACAGGCTGAGCCACTGAGCCCGGCTTTTCATTTTTTTTTTTAATTGTAGAGACAAGGTCTTGCCAAGTTGCCAGGGTTGGTCTTGAACCTGCAGGCTCAGGCAATCCACTTGCCTCTGCCTCCCAAAGTGCTGGGATTATAGGCTGAGCCACCAAGTCTGGCCTATGCTGGTACATTCCAAATTGTGTGACTGAGTTATAGCTGATTCCAGAATATGAGTGTCATCATATACATTCAAGATGACTGTGACAGCAGCTACCACTTACTGACCACCTGGGAAGTGCTGAGACTTAACATATATTGCTAATTTAATCTTTACCACTGATAGATATCATTATCCCAGCTTTTACAGATGAAGATGGGGCATGCAGAGACAGGAAGTCTGTCTGCTACAGTTCGCCAACACCTTCTAAAACCTGATATATTTGGCTTATTTAATGAATACTCTTGCCATGAGTGAGTGGGAAAACTACTGATCGCGAACCCAATGTATCCAAATCAGGTGGGGCTTAACTACAGAAGAGCCTGGGAGCAATATCACTCTGCACCTGAACGTCCTCACAAGTCCCAGAAGACAAAAAGGGTCTCTTGAATTAAACAAAAACCACTGGCTTGTTTAGCCAGCACCTTCTTGCTCTAGAAGCCACTTGTCTTCTTCCATGAAGATGTTAGAGTTTAGGCAAATTGGTTAAAATCATAACCTGGATCACAGGGTGGTTTTACAATTTTTTACGTACCTGTAATTCTTCTGTCCAATTAGCACAACTTTTCCAGTGATATATGTAACTCTGGGTTGTTGTTTTAAACTTTCTATGAGATGAATCACAGAAGTTTCTCTTCAAGTAGGTTGGGGTGAGCCCAACAATACAAACAAGTGGTCAGTGGGGACACTTCTTTGGAAAGTGAAGCTTTGATTTTCTTTCCATCACATATCTGCCTTTATATATATATATATTTTGAGTCAGGGTCTCACTCTGTCAGCCAGGTCAGAGTGCAGAGGCATGATCACAGCTTACAGCAGCCTGCACCTCCTGGGCTCAGCCTCCTGAGTAGTGGGGATTATAGGCACACGCCACCATGTCTAGCTAATTTTTAAACTTTTTTTGTAGAGATGAAGTGTCACTACAATGCCCAGGCTGGTCTCAAGTTCCTGGGCTCCAGGAATCATCTCCCCTCCGCCTCCCAAAGTGCTGGGGTGACAGGAATGAGCACCATGCCCGGCTCATGTCTGTCTTTTTCATCAGTACACCCAGAAGCTAAGCCTTTACACTTGGCTGATGTGATGGGTCTGAAGTTTGTAGATACCTCAAAAGGGAGCATTCCCCACAGTATGCAGGCCTTACCCCACCCCAGCAGCCAAGTCTAGAAAGACGAGTTTCCTGCTAGGTCGTAGAAGTTCCCTAGCAGGGACAGCAGGCTTGGCACTCCACAGACAGCTCATGGCCAACAGGGAGGCCACCTCACCTCCAGCTTAGGAGGAAGAAACCGAGGCACAGAGACCATGTAAGCCAGTGTGCCTCCTATGCTAGGGTGAGCAACCTTTCAAAGACAGTCACAGGGCCCTGGGAAAACTCGCCCCTAGAATCTCATGCCGAGTCTCAAGCCTTCTTCTGGAGGCTTCGCAGGAAGCAGCGTGGTGCAATGCAAATACTTTTTTTTGAGACATGGTCTTCCTCTGTTGTCCAGGTTAGAGTGTAATGGTGTGATCATAGTTCACTGCAGCCTTGACTTCTTGGTCTCAAGCAATCCTCCCGCCTCAGCTTCCCGAGTAGCTGAGATGACGGGCACCATGCCCGACTCAAATGAAACCTGTGAGCACCTGACCAAACCACATAGAGTGGAGCTGCCCCTGGTGAGGGCTGCCTGCAGGGCACTTCCTCTCTATGGTGCTGCCGCAGGCTCCATGGAGAGCACAGGTTGGAAAATGGCTGAGGTACAGGGCAGTGCCCACTAGGAGTCAGACTTGAGTTTGAATCCCAGCTGTGTGCTCTGGGAAAGTGAAATTACCCCTCTGTGCTTCGTCTCTCAAACAGGAAGAATCATAGTCCGTGGGCTGTTGTGAGGATGAAGCAGAGGTTACCGAGAGAGCAATTCCCATCCTGACAGGGAGCCCCTCCCTGACCTGTGTGGAGAGGGGGCCGGACTCACGGGTCTTGACCTGATGGTTTTGACTCTAGGCTTGTTTACCTGCTCAGGGGTTGGCGTTATGGGTGTGTCAACGGAGAGTCCAGCTGGGGTGGACAGAGAGGTGCTGTGCTGGCTGGAGCCCTCTCGCTGACTGGCGTCGGTTCCCACAGAATTCTGTGCTGATGACGTCTCTGAGTTGAACACAGTCTAGAGGGCAGGAAACAGGGTCAGTGTGGCCTCCTGGGGTGTCAAGGGCCCAGAAAAATAGTGGCCTGCCTGGGGATGACACTGGGATAAGTCCTGCCTCCTCCTCTGGCTCCCAGCGTGGCGATTCACTCACCCTCTGGGGTGTGTGGATGGGCGACAGCATGTCTAGGTCGGTCATGGGGAACTCCAGTCCCTTCCTCCGCAGGTCCTCGTAGACGGCGACCACACCTGTCAAATCGGGCGAGCTGCGGAACGCGTCAGCCCAGGACTGAGAGGGGACAAGGGGACATGGCCGGTAACCACAGCTCACCTTCTCCCCTGCGAGCCCTTCTACCTCGGCACCCAGAGGACAGAAATTCTTTCCCTGACTTGTTGGTGTTTTACTATATCTGTCCAGCCCGCTCCACAGCAAAGCATGCCATGGACAAGCCTTCCCCCACAGAATGTCCTGCCAGCAGACAACCAAGACACCAAACCAGCAGTCAACCAGAAACAGAACCTACGGCCAATACTAAGGAAGTTCTGCACTGACAGCCTTCCCAGCCCGCCCGTCCCTGCCCTGGCACTCACCTGGATGAGGTTGAGCACCTTGTCATGCACGATGGTGGGAGGGTTGTTCTTGGGCAGGATGGTTCTCACCAGCACACTTTCCACGAAGTCCTGGCTGGCCACCAGCACGTGGAAACGGTGCCCACAGTTCTTGACGCAGGTTTCCAGGACCTGGAGGGCCAAGACGTGCCCATGAGATACCCTCATGGCTCTACCTATGTCCCGGAAGTTTGGCCCCGCAGAGGAGACAGGACTTCCTAGAGGGAGAACCCAGCACATGGAGAACTTGGGGCAATGCTGGAATTCAGGGGTTTATTTACTGGAAAGTAGTGGCTTGAATGGGCACAGGGGTGGTGTGCAGGCTGAAGTCCCTCCCTGACTGATGTCAGTGCCCACAGAATCTTGATGCTATTTCTAAGCTGAACAGACCAGGAGGGAGGGACTCTCCAAGGGGAATGAAACAGAACTTGAGCTTTAAGTCAGGCGGTGACTGGTGGGCTGAGGAAAAGGTGCTGACCTTCCCTCCCTCTCTCCACTTCCTGCTTTCTGGCAGGAGCTGCCTTTGCTTCTTGTTAGGTGGGATTCACCTGCATATCAACACTGCTCATGGGGGAGGCTGGGGCAGACCTATTCTGGCGGCCAGGACACCCACACTTGCCTGGCTGCCCTGGGACCTGGCCTGCTTCAGTGGTAGGGCAAGGCTGTTCTGTCACTGGCGTTTCTTTTATGTTCATTTTCCTATGCTCCAAAGTGCCAGGCAGCACGCTTGTCCCAACAGAGGCCTGACTTTACTGAGCTGCTGTCACCCATAGGTCCTTTGGCCCAGGCTCTCCACGCCAGTGGATCTGGAGGGATGTAACCTCAGGATGTCTGCTCCCATGCTGTGGTTTGGGGAGGACCTTTTTGAATGGCCTCTCTTGCCATTCCATGTCAGCCAGCAGTGTAGACAGGACAGTGCTTTCCCCACCAACCTTTCCATCCCCGCCCTTGGACAAGGAGCCCAGAGGTGGCCATGAGTCCTGCTGGGTCTGAGGGGAGGTGGCTTTCAGTGGACTGTGGCCCTGCCATGAGGTGTGTACGGATGCGCACTCACCGTGAGGGCCAGCATCACCTCGTGGAAGTTCTTATTTCCCACGATTCTCTTCTTCAATGCTCGGAAGGCGTCTTTGGGGCTGGGAAGAAGGACAACAGGAAGGATGGGCTTAGGCATGAAGCCTCTTTACCTGACACTGGAGGCTGCTGGCCTGAATCCGGCCCTGGAGGGCTGGAAGGCTCTTATTTGCAATCCTCCCTGGGCCCCACCGGCTTTGTGTCTCTAAGTTCTAATCACGTCAGAACCCTCCTACCCCACCACAGTCCTCTTGGGAGATCATGACTGCTTAGCAGGGACTCTCACCGTGTGGTCCCTGGCCCTCCTGCAACAGAATAGCTTTAGGGAGAGGTATGTTTGTTAAAAATGCAGAATCCAGGCCACTCTAGACCACCTGAACCACATTCTTAGGGAGTGGGGCCCCAGAATCTGCATGCTTCCCACACTCCTCAGGGACTTCTCATGCTTGCTGATGTCTAAGGACAGACAGCCTGTCGGCGTAAGTGTTCTAATGCCTCACCCTGGCCAGCTCCTCTATCCACCATCTTTCTATTCTTGTTTTTGAGACAGGGTCTCGCTTTGTGATCTGGACTGAAGTGCAGTGCAGGATCAGAGCTCACTGCAGCCTCCAACTTCTGGGCTCAAGTGATTTTTTTCACCTCAGCGTGCTGAGTAGCTAGGACTACAGGCATGTGTCACTAAGCCTGGCTAATAAAAAAAAAATGTTTGTGCTGGGTGTGGTGGCTCACGCCTATAATCCTAGCACTTTGGGAGACCAAGGTGAGAGCACTGCCTGAGCCCACGGGTTCGAGACCAAGCTGGGCAACTTGGTGAGACCTCATCTTTACAATAAAGAAATAAAAAAAATCAGCCGGGAGTGGTGGTACATGCCTGTAGTTCCAGCTACTTGGAAGGCTGAGGTGGAAGGATCACCTGAGTCCAGCAGGTTGAGGCCGCGGTGGCCGTAAGCGTGCCACTGCATTCCAGTCTGGGTGACAGAATGAGACTCCAACTCAAAAAAAAAAAATTTTTTGTTTTTACAGACAGGATCTCATTATGTTGCCCGGGCTGGTCTCAAACTCCTAGCCTCAGGCGATCCTCCCATTTTAGCCTCCCAAAGTGCTGGGATTACAGGCACAGGCCACCATGCCCAGCCCAGTCAAGTCTTACTAAGCATTCAATATGTGTGGGGCACCATGGCAGGTGCTGAGGACACAACGGTGAACGTGACTGCACAGCCCAGCCTTGTTTCCATGGCTCCCGCGTTTTGAGACGACTCAAAGAACCGAAGGGAACAACATAAGAAGGTCTGGGGAAGGTGGGAGTGCAGGTGGTCAGAAAAGGCCTTCGAAGGATGGGAAGGACCAGCTGGGGGAGCAGGGGCAGGGCAGTTCAGGTCGAGACAAGAGCCTGAGCCAAGGTCCTGGGGTGGGGAGGAGCGTGGTGCCCTGGAGGAGCTAGGAGGAGGCCACACTGAGTGGAGAGCATATGGGAGGAGAGGCTGAGGGGCCCTGGGGCTACATTAGGGAGGGTGGATGTGCTAAGTGTGATGGGAAGCCCTGGAAGCCTGGGTGGCAGCCTGCTCTTCCTGTGCCGTCTGCAGCCCTCGGCCCTGTATAGGTGCAATCGGTGTTGCCCTGGCCGCTCTGGCTTAGGAGCCTCTGTGCTGGCTTCTGTTCCTGGGCTAGCTGCTGACCTTGGGCCACCTCAGTGCTCTAAGGGACTTGTTCGCATTTCTTCGCAGATGGCCTAGAGAAAGGGGCATGGCACTGGGGACCAGAAGTTCTGGTCTTACCACTGCCGTAGGCTGTGTCCAGTACTCTGCTAGGAGCACAAAGTATATGGCAAGGAAGCCACAACCCAATGGAGAGACCCTAACGTTTAGCCAACGCGCTCTGTGAGGTCAAGGTGTCCTTGCTCACAGCTGGTCGGTCCGCAGTGCCTCATGCAGTGATTGGAACACACAGGTGCTCAAATAAATAGCAAGGCATCTGAACAACTCTGAGCCCCAGTTTCTCCCACGTGTATAAGGGACATGGGGGCTTGCCGTCTCCAAGGACACTGCAGTGACTTTCAGTCATGACGTCCATGAAGCTCCCAGGCCTTTCTAGAGGCTCCATGAGGTTTTCTGCCTCCTGTCTTCTTTCTTGGCCTTGGCATCTACCCACCACTCCTGTCCCCACCCCTTCCTTCATTCTCATGAGTCCTTGCAAGGCCACGGAACAGGCTGAGACTCCTGGCAGCTACTGCCCTCTCTTGATCGGGCCCGACTGTGTGACTCAGATGCTCACATCTCTCCCCAGCTCCAAGCTGCGGGCATCTCTCCCACCACTGCACTAGCCTGCCCTCACCCATTGCACTCCTGGGCTGAGAGGAACACTCTAAACTGGCTGAGGGGTCACTGCATTATCCCAAGGAAAAATGGAGAGGAAAACGAGACTGCAGTTTCGCAGAACAGAGACCCCGACAGGCAGCACTTCCTGTTGGCTGTGGCCTCCACACCCCTCCTCATCCTTCATGGGGCTTTCTTGCAGGGACAAAGACCCTCGCATCCCCTTTCGGCTCCCCCAGGGACCTTGACTAATTGCTAGAAGGATCTAACAGAGCTTTGCCTGTGAGGACAAAGACCTAGAGAGGTAAAGCGACTTGCTCGAGGTCACACAACTGGTTGGTGACAACCAGGCAGACATCAGAAGCCAAGAACCTAACGCCTCCCACATCGTGTGCCTTGGCAAGGCTCCTCGGCACCAGGCAAGAGCACATTATGCCGCCAACACTTGAAGAGCCCTGACTGGCCTCTCCTTCCGCTGTCCCTCGAGTGCCCTCCTCGTGATCCCCTACCCTCCAGGCTGGTTTCAAATCCCAAGGAAATGAAAGTCTGTTTTTGTTCAGAGAAGAGCTGGGAGTCCCTAATGCATATTCCAGCCCACAGGATGCAGAAAGTACTTGGGGCCAACTCCTGACTGGAAGTATCCAGCTCGGCTGTCCCAGGGAGATGCTGCCCCCATAGCCTGGGGCAGTGCTGAGAGGTGGGGTGGGGTGGTGGCACCCAGGGGCTACCTGTACAACCACCGTGAATTCTTGCTTTGGGTTGGCTCAGGGACCAGGGGCTGGGATGACCTCTGCAGCCCCTGCTGCACTGAAGACTCCCGCAGGGTCGGACTTTGTGACTATAGCAGCAGTGAGGTTGGGACAGGGCCTCCCGGCAGGGTGCAGGTGTGAGCTGTAGTGGGCCATCCTTGCCAGTGTCCTGACTTCTCCTGGGGGGCCCTTACCCTTCCTCTGTCTCATTGATGATGTCACAGATCTCCATGTTGAGGGCCCAGTCCTCGCTCTGCAAGGAGCCATCTGTGGCTTGCTCTGAGGAGAAGAAAACACATGTCACAGAGGTGTGTGGGGGTCCTGGCTGAACAAACTCCATCAGTGGGGAGGGGCGGGTGGGGGGCAGGGAGAGATAGGGAGAGGGAAGATGATGGATGCTTCCTGGGCAGCCAGGAAGGGCCTGACCCTGTGTGAGCTGCTCCATACACACCATCCCACTTGTCACTTGATTCGTGTAGCAGCCATTGAGGCAGGGAGTACCCGGTCCTTTGACGGATGAGGAAACCGTGGCTCTGAGCCTACCAAATGGATGCGTGCGGACTGGAATCTAGGCGGACCCCAGACTGCTTGTTTTTGACATGACAAGAGAAAGACAGTGCTTTCCTTATTTTTGTAAACAAGACGCTCCCTCTTGGTCTTATATTTAATCTTTTGGTAACAATCACATGGTTCAAACATAAGCGTTTCAAAGCAGTATGCAGCGGAGAGTGGGTCTACCTCCATTCCTGCCCTCTGTCCCCCACTTCCTAGAATCACTGCCGTAACCAGTTTCCTGTCACCTCCCAGAGGCCTTCCTTACCCATGAAGCAAAGACTCCACCACCAACATGTGAGCCAGCCCTCCCCGTCCCCTTCTGAGGCCAGTCTCTGCCCCTAGATTGGGCTAATGGTGAGCCACCTTGTAGAACTGCCCCAGGGGTGGTGACTCAAGCAAGGTCTCTGCATGGTGCCTGCACAACGCAGGTGCTCAGTAGGTGGTGGTGGTGGTAGGTTTTTCTTAATTAGGTGAAAGTCTCATGACACAACATTAACCATTTTCAAGTGCAATTCGGTGGCATTCAGTAATTCACAACATTGAAGGCAACCACCACCACTTCTGTCAGTTCCACGACACTTCGCGTGGTGGCGACTCCTACAGTAAGATTTAAAAGTCAGGGGTCAGTTACAGGGTTCTTGAAGCCTGTCAGAGCCAGGGCTGGGACCATGTGCTACAGATCTGCTCAGTGGCGAGTCCTGGGCTGCTGGCCTTCTGCAGTGTGAGAGGTGCCAACTGGTGTCAGGTGTACGATGAACAAAGGAACTGACAATGCTAGGAACTTCACGAATGGTCTCTAAGGAAGAGAAGTGCGGTCCCTTCTCTCAAACACGTGGCCCATTTTCATGGTCCTCTGCACACCCAGATGCCATCCCCACACAGACCAGTTTGGCCACAGTGCACATGGAAAGTTTTCTATTCTGCTTCTTGTGGGCAATATTTTATCACGCACATTGCCCTGGCAGGTGCGCATTTTCACCAAGTGTAGGAGTGTGTGACAAGATAGGCCTCGCTCAACACTTTCAGTTCAGGGGGTAATACCCGTGGTGTCCTGATGCCGGCACTGCCTGAGGCCCCCTGCCCTGCCCTGCTGTCTCTGGTCTCCAGCTTCCAGACCCTGGCTTCAGAGGTGGAATGCTCACAAGCTACCAGCCTCTGCGGCTGCCCTGCTGGCCTTGGAACACCTGATGACAGGCTCGTATGGCACTTGGGCACAGTGCTGCCAGCAGTTTATCATCTACCAAAGGCATGCGATGGGCTAGGTGTGCAGAACGCGTTATTCCATATGATGTCACACTGTCCCGCAAGGGACATTCTCTCGTCACTGCTGTGTTCAGGAGACAGCTGAGGCCTGGAAGGGAGGGTGACTTCTCACCCGCTGCATAGCTACGCACATGCCAGGCCTATTCCAGGCACTGGGACCCAGTGGTGGACAAGAGGGGCCTGGTCCTGCCCTAGGGTGCCTTCTTTTGGCCAAAATGTGCTCTAAACCCAAGTCTGCCAGAGGACAGAGAAGGGCAGCCTCCATGTGACTGGGCGGGATCCTTTCCTAGCTGGGCTGGCCCAGCCAGCTCTCTGAAACTGTGGCTTCTAAGACCTTGGTTTTGAAACCGGCCTGACTTCAGTTCCACCCTCAGGTCCTGAGCCAGATGGATGCCAGGGTGGCCCAGGACACATGCCAGGCGGCTGAGGTACAGGGAGGACTGCTCTACCCCTAGGCTCTAGCCCGGGGGGAGGCAATGATGAAGGTTCCCTCTAGAAGGATTCAAAGACAGACCCGTCCCTCTGTGAGTGTTTACTGAGTATGGCTTCTTTGCACCACCCCACACTTAAGGGCTCTCATACTTACAGAGCCCCCTGGGAAGAACACAGTGGGCTGAGCAAATGCCCAGCTTTGGAGGGCCTGGAGGGCAGTGGTTAATCCTATTCATCAGAGTTAACACGCAGAATGTGCTCCCCTGTAAGGAGCCAAATCTCAGCGACCGCCGGTCACACAGGCCACAGGATTAGCGTCATCCCTGACGCCCGGCCCACATCTACTGGCCGCGAAGTCCTGCCAAGTCCAGCTGCTGACCTCTCTCCATCGCACCATTCCCTTCTCGTGTCCCCACTCCACTGCCCCAGCCTGGCCCCCATCCTCCCCCCAGACCACTGTGGCAGCCTCCTCCCCACCCATTCTTCGTGCTGCCCAGAGGGAACTTTCTGAAATGATCATGTCCCTCCTGTGCCTCAAACCCTTCCCCATCTCCTGGTCTTCAGCCTGGCCTGTGTGCCCTTCCACAATAATAATATTTTAACTTCCCGAGTTCTGTACTCTATAGGACGAAGCATCATTTAGCTGTTTGTATGAAGAACAAGGCTGGGCGTGATGGCTCACGCCTGTAATCTCAGCACTTTGGGAGGCTGAAGCGAGAGAACTGCCTGAGTCCAGGGGTTTGAGACCAGCCTGGGCAACTTGGTGAGACCTCGTCTCTATAATAAATCAAAAAAATTGGCTGGTGCATGCCTGTGGTTCCAGTTACTTGGAAGGCTGAGGAGGAGGGATCACCTGAGCCCAGCAGGTTGAGGCTGCAGTAGCTGTGAGCGTGCCACCGCACTTCAGCCTGGACGACAGAGTGTGACTTCTACTAAAAAAAAAAAAAAAAAAAAAAAAAAAAAAAGGGGAGATTTAATCCTCACACCTGATGAGGTGTATGTTGTTGCCCTCATCTCACTAACGAGGAAACAGAGGTGCAGAAAGGTCAGTGATGTGAAGGGCCACTTGGTGGTGATGGAGAGTGGTCACTGACGCCGCAGGGCAGGTTCCTTCTGGGGGTGGGGTGGAATGGAGCGCCGCTTTCCCAGGAGGTGCTTCCCACCACTCAGGCAGTCTGCCCTCTCTCTCTGCCCTGAGAATCGCCGGCAGGCCTCAGTGGTCCCCCATCGGATCCCCTGATGACCCCCCAGGGCCCCTGAAAACCATGAGCACCTAATGTCTCCCACGGGAATATGCACCGAGGTTTTAGAAGAAATTAAGGTGGTTTTGGAAAGGCAAGCAGCTTTGAAGGGGAGGCTGGGACGAGTTGGCGGGTGCAGGCAGGAGGCCCTGCAGCACGAGTCTGACGCCTGCTTGGCAAGCTCTTTGGCCCTGTGTGGCAGCAGTGGGCAGAGCCATTCCCAAGATAGGCTTTTGGGGGAGGGGGCAGGAGGGGGCATGTGGCCTAAACAGGAAAGGGGAGAGGAAGAGCAGGGGGAGGCAGATGGGGACCAGATCCAGCTGAGTGCCTGGAGTAGAAGATAGCTGTGGTCGGGGAGGCGTCCCCACGCCTCCCCGACCATTGCCTGCCCTCTCCCTTCTGGATCCCCCAGGTCTGGGCATGGACTGCAGGACGGCGAGAGTCGTGACTTCCTGCAGACGTCCACAGGGCAGGCGTGCCTCATCAAGGGCAGAGTTTTAGACCCACAGGAACCTGGGAATATTTTGTTTTGTTTTTGTTCTTAACCGCAGAAGTAACTTGGCTTGCTATTTTAAGAAGGGGGATAAAAACACGGACGGTGGTGACAGTTACCAAGAGAACAGTAACTCCCTGGCCACAGAGCTGTTGGTGGTGACCTTCGTGGGCCCTGGGTAGCAGCTGTGCTCTTGTCTCCCGGCTCCTGAGGGAGCCAGGCCCTGCAGACATGTGTGTGTCATTAGGTGGCTTTGCTGCCATTCAGGGCTGGCAGGCCTGTGACTTTGGGTCACCAGGCACTCACGTGTCTGTTCAGCAGTTTGTCCTCTCTGCTGGGCCTGGTGTAGACATGATCTCTCTAGAGGGCTCCAGATAAGCCTCCTGGCATGGCATGATGGCAAGGCCCGGCTGCCCCTCTCGGAGAATTGGGACAGGCAGTGGCACAGGCTCTGGAGTGGCACAAGTCTGACCTCACCTCCTAACTCAGAGACCGCGGGCAAAGGTCCAGGCCCTGTCAATCTCTGTCTCTGTACCTGTAAAACCAGGATGAGATCGCCTGCCTCAAGGGACCTGTGACCTTTCGACCAGACAATGTCAGAATGACATCAGGAAAGGCTAGCAATTAGTAACAGAGCTTCAATAAATGTGACTCGGGTAAAGAGAAGGAATGAGTGGTCACCAGAGACATGTCACACCTGCTCCAGGCAGTGGGGCTCCTGGTCCGAGAATCCCAGGTGTAATGGCTGCTCTCAAGCTACAGGCAGCCCTGCTCCTGCAGCTGGGGTGGAGACCACCTCTGCGGGTGCTTAGCGGCAATGGGTAGCATCAGGGATGCGGGCCACAGGACCGCCCCCTCCACCCAGCCTTCCAGGAAGCCACCCAGGGCCTTCTCCCTGTCCCCCTGCACACTCCAACAGTGGCCAAGTTGCATGCATCATCATGGAGCTAACTCTGGCTTAGGCCCTGTCACCTCCCCTGGACTGTCACCTGCACACTCTCCTCAAACATAACTCCACCCAGGACTTTTCTCTAAAATTACCCATGATCCCACTGCCCGGGGGTCAAGTCCTGAACCCCCCAGGGACTGGCCTTAGCCATAGGGGGCTGTGCCCTCTGTGTGCCTGTCCCTTCCTGCCTCTGTGCTCCTGCCTGGAATGCCATTCCTCAGTCAGCTAGGCATCCAGTTCACAATCCACCACCACCAGGATAAACACCAACAAGCACATCACAGCCTCAGTCACCCTCACCATAACCCTTAAAATAGAGGATGGGTAAACCGAGGGCACAGAGAAG